ATATATAATACATTCTGATGATGAAGATGATTTACAAAAGCAATCTGAAAGCTTACGACTTTTACATGTATCTGAAGTGGAAGAGTTACGACATAAAATTCAAGAAATGAATACCGAATTAGAAATTACTAATAGAGAGCTCAGTGACTTACAAAATCTTTATTCTTCTGATACAGAAAAGTACAAAAAGCGAATAAATGAGTTGTTGAAGCAGTTAGATGATGCTCGAAAATATGAAAATACCACCAAAATCGATGAACAATTAAATATACTATCAGAATTTAACGAATTAAAATCAAGATATGAGCAAATAATTATTGAACACGAAGCATCAATTTCAAAGCTTAATGAAGAGCATGCGGACGTTATTGCTGTCAAAGATAATCTCATTCGTTGTCTTCAACGTGAAAAAGAAGATCTTTCAAATCAATTCGCTGACTTTAAAAAAGAGGCACAAAACACTTTGGACACTGTTCAACAGCAGCTCCTAAATACTCGTGAAGAAATTGTATCTATAGTTGATGAGAATAATAATTTAAATGTTGCCAATGGTGAATATCTAAAGAAGATTGATATTCTTAAGGCATGTTTGAAAGATTCCACAAGAGCAGATTGCAGTGAAATTGAACAAATTCGAACAGATAATGAAATAGAAGAAAATTCCAAGGTTAAAACCGAATCTAAGTGGAACCAAGATGAATCAACAGAAATTGACCGAAACATCAAAGTAGAAAAGATGGTAAAAGATTCTGTTGCAACTTTATATGTCATAATATTAAATATTTTCTTTATAATATTCAAACCTTTCTCATTTACTTTTTCTTTAAATTGTATTAGAGTCATATTATGATATTGTTTATTTCATTCATATTGGTTAAATTCTTTTCTTATTTAGTTGAGTCGGTACGTCATTTATTTATATTAACATTACATTTGATATTGCGAAAAAATACATATTAATTACCTATTTATCTTCTGATGTAGAGTACTTTTAATGTAATTTTTATTGGGTTTGGAACATATATTTTATTTAATCTCTCATGATGTCACTTCCAGTGTTCGGAGCTTGACGTGCACACACACATATATTAATTTATCCAATTAAAAAGTGACGCACATCTTGTTTTTATCTTTAATTTAGACGCTATTATAACTTATGCATATACAAAATGGAAATTTATTAAAATGAAATTTTATTTAATAATTATAAGTTTACGCGTCATGGAAAATTGGTTTGGGGTGCATTTTTCAGGCACCTTTTGGAGTTAATTAGAATTTAAGATTAAATTGAAGAGTATAAATGAGTTTTAGATGCTTAAAAAGAAACCACAAATTTCATTTTAATAGATTTCACTATGGTTTGCAACATTTATTATCCAAAATTATATATTTACATTGCATGTAATTATTTAATTTAAAAAACAAATTTTTAATAAAAATCAGATAGATAACTATGCGTTATATTTATCCAGACCAGGGACGATGATTTTATGCAAATTGCATAAACCGCATAATATAATTGATAATACATAATATGTTGGATTTGCTGCATAATTAAGTAATCTTTACACAATTTGCTCTAAGCTTTGTTTCGAAAGGTTCCGAATAAAAAATTAATCAACGCAAATTACAAAGTCGAGAAAAAAATTGAAGTTCCGAAATACATCGAAAGATGGTTTTCATACTAAACCAGATATAAAATTCCGTACGTAATGGTGCAAAACGTAGCATAATCATACATAATTTTGGATGCAGAATACGCGCATAATTATAAAAATAGATATGCATTTCAAAACGCATAATTTACTTTCGTTGTATGGTTTATTGCAGCATAAAAATCATCGTCCCTGACTAATAGGGTTCAGGCACGGGTAAAAAAATTGGGAATGCACTTAGGTAGAGGCATGTCCCTTATGCCTATGCCCATATAAGCATAATGGAGGTTCGTTTTGATTGGTTGTCGATTCTGATCATCAGATTGAATATGATTGGTTGATATTTGAGTTGCTGGAACTGGTGACTTTCTAAAATCTGATTGGCTATTGCACTTAATAGCAAATCAGATTTTAGATAGTCACCAGTTTTACCAGCACAATTTAGTTTTACCAACTCTAGTTGATATATCTTATATAG